CCCGAGGTGTCCCGTGGTGTGAGATCGATAATGCGATCGATAATGAGACCGATAGTGAGATCGAGAGGTGCCCCGCGGTGTCCCGTGGTGTCCCGTTGAGTGAGATCGATAGTGAGATCAACAAGTGTCGCGTGGTGTCTCGTGGTGTCCCGTTGAGTGAGATCGAGAGTGAGATCGATTGAGTCAGATGTTGGTTCACCCCTCTCTCCCCCCCCACACAACACCCTTATCACCCGAAGGGTGGTCGTATAGGTAAAATAAGTTGGTTACGGCGAGGCATAATAGGACAGTTCTAACACATTCGGTTACACTCGAAGCAGAGAAGCGCTTCTGGGAGAAACGCTAGGATCTCGATTTGCAAGACGTTGCTGTAATAAGCTCTGACGCCATATCGGGGTCGACTCGCCAGCGTCGCCCACTGACGAGGGCGACAAGGTAAGACACGTGGCAGGGGATGACTCGAAGCATACCCGATGTCACTGCTCAAGTGCCCAGGTATGATCGCAACACCTCGTGGGTGTGGTCGTGGGTGTGAGCGCGCTCGTGGGCTTGCTGAGCCCGCGTGTGCACTCGCTGGTGCACTGAGCAAAAAAAAACGCAAGCTTCGCCCTCACTGTACCGACCCGACCGCGATCCAAAGAACAGCCAACTCCAGATGCTGGCCGTGGGCCGCAGCTCGGACGGCCGATCGGAACACGGAAAGCACCGCCGCCGAGAAGGCTCGAGTCGAGGGGCAGCGGGGGGGGGGAGCGGAGAGTCGAGCGACCGAACTGACTGGCAAGCCAAGGCCTGCGAGAGGGTGGCAGGGATCCTCGGTCCTGGAGCATACCAAATCCTCTCAGAATCGCCCCCCTGGGCCCCCGCTCGGAGTCCGCCCTTGCCTGTCAGCTTTGCCACGTCTTGCCGTGGGGCGACAAAGGCCCCAGAAACCGAAAGATCCAACGTCTTGCTCTGTTCAATGCGAAGGCCCTGAATACTGGATCCTCGCCCGAAAGGCGGCCAGCTGTCGTCCCGAACCTTATCCTGACAGAGCCCTCCAGGCTTGGCGAGGGCCCCCGCAAAAGACTGGAAAGAGGCGAGAGACTTCCGCGCGGATCTAAAAACACGGTGCCGACCCCCCCTCTCGAGCCCATCGGGGCCAATGTGCATCCCAGATCGACGTCCGAAAAGCGAGAAAGCGACCTCGACCCTCGTAATCAACCTCGCGCGCTCGGCGTCATCGTCGTCGTCGTCGTCGTCGGCGGCGCACCGCCAATGTCTCGAGCCCCGCGCGGAGAGCTCCGCGACATCCTCGCGGCGCGTAAGGGAGGAGGAGGAGGAGGAGGAGGAGGAGGAGGAGGAGGAGGAGGAGGAGGAGGAGGAGGAGGAGGAGGGAGGAGGGAGGAGGAGGAGGAGGAGGAGGAGGAGAAAGAAGAACATGAGCCCGTGTGTGTGTGTGTGTGGAATCGCGGCCCCCGCCAGACTCGCGGGCCCGCTGCCACGCGGCCTCCTCGCCGCTCTCCTCCCCCGCCCTGGGGCCTGGGCTGGTCTTGCCGCCCGCGCTCCACCCCCCCCCCGCCTTGCCTGGCCCCCGGGCCCCGCACCCCCTCCCCGGGGGAGCGGCCTCGCACCGTGCCACTTCCATTCCACCGGCTGTACCTTCAGCCCTGCTGCCTGCCGTCGGACGTCCATTTCCCGTGCATCGTTCGGTTTCGTGCGTGTGTTTTGTTGCTCCATGGTCCGCGCCGCGTCGTCCGAGCGAGGCCCCCGGCCGCCGCCGCCGCTGGGCCTCCGGCGCTGGCCCCGCCACACCCCTGGGCTGCTCTGATCGGGAGCGGCCAAGAGGGGGGTGTCCAAGAGGGGGGGGTGCAAATCATGACCGGCGGCATGTGCGCGGCCCAGCGGGGGGGCCAGGGACGTAATGGAATAAGAAGAGGCGCCATAAAATCTGGGGAAATATCATGGCCCCCGTCATGATATCCCCCCCCCTTGTTATCACCCCCCCCTCTTTGCCGCCCCCGATCTCAGAGAGCCCGGGCTCCTCCCCCCCCCCCTGGGCCGGCGCCTCGCGCCCTCTCTGCCCTCCCCCACCTCTGCACGGTGGCCGAAGCCGCGCAGCGCGCCCCGTGTTGCTCACCTCGCCAGCGCCAGCGCAGTCCCTCTGCCTGGCCGCCGAAGCCACCAGTGCGGGCTTTTGCGCGCGAGCGTGCGCGTGTGAGCGCGACCGTGTGCGTACGCGTGCGCGCGTGTGAAGCTGACCGCTCGGCCTGCCACTGCCGTTCCACTGCTGCCCCACTGCCCGCCGTTGGCGACATGGTCGCCATCCTGGCTCGCGCCCCTCCCCCCCCCTCACCTCCCTCTTCCACCGTCTTGGTCGGCGCCGCTTGCAGCCGCACCCGCTCGTCCCCTCTCTCGGCCGTCCGCCGGTGAGACGCCGGTTCCCGTGGTGATGTAGAGGAGGTTGGTCACGAGGCTGAGGATGACGACGAGAACGGATGCAAATGAGGATGACAGAGGGGGGATGTAGGGGTGATGATTTGCGTGGTTGGCCTCAGGCCGAGTCCGCACTCACCCGCCGGCGCCCGCGAAAGTTGGGGGAGGGGTGGGAAACGAGGATGAAGATGAGGATGGGGATGGGGATGAGGATGAGGAGGAATGCAACCCAGACGACATCAACGATGTCGCCATACACCTCAGAACCCCTCTCCACAAATCTTTGCACCAATGAAATTTGATTGCCGGGTGCGCCTGTGAGAATCCTCCATCCTGCCAAAACACCGTTACTGGGATTGTAATGCCGCGAATCAGCGTGGTTGCCGCATCCTGGCCTTCCTGAACCCTAGCATAACACTGTCCATGTGCCACTTGTGTCCTGACGACCAAATCGTGACAAAACAAAACTCCTGGAACTTCAACCCAACGAAACCTTGACATTGGTGTGGAATGTTCTGGAATGAATCCAATGTTTGAAAAGAAGCCGCCCTCAACACATGAAACGGCTGCAAACTGTTAAAGACGAGAGTGCGCGGCGCTAAAGCGAAAACTACTGTTTGAACACCGGCCGCGCTCCACCCCCGAAACGATTGCAAACAAACCGAGCAAATGCGCGCCGCGCTCAAGGCAATAACCACAGTTTGAAACTGATCGCCTTCGATCTTGGAGCTGATGCCCAATTCAAGTTTCAAGATCGGACACGGTGAGGCAGCCGCAAGAGAAACGCCCGCTTGGCCCTAACGACACGTCTGGTGGTGCGACGAGGGAAGATGATTCATAAACATGGAGGAGACGGCGGAGAACGACGACGACGAGGGAGGGGGTGGGGGTGCAAGGGGAGGCGGAGGAGCGAGACAGGAGGCAAAGGGGAGGAAACAGGGAGGAGGCAACCCTGGGGGAGCTGCCGGGCCACCCTGTGGTTCGCCACGGCCTGCTGCGGTGGGCCTCCGGGAGGCCTCCGAGACACGGGCGACGGAGGGCGGGGGGGCGGAGCGGCCAGCGCCGCACGGCCTCCAGCGCGCGCTCCAGGCGCACACGCGGCCCCCGGCCCGACGCCGGGCCCCCTCCGCCCCCGTCCTCGAAGAGCAGGACGAGCACGATGCCTCGGCGCACGGGGCAGGGCCCGTCCGCACCGCGAATTGGCAGCTCGGATAGAATCGAAGGTGTGCATCGGATCGGCCCGCCGCGGCACGGAGGGGGATTCGGGCCCAGAAAGATCGCGAAGCGACATGAACCAACAACTTTGTACTTGGGCGGGAGGCCGCAATTAAGCATCTGGCCATCGCTCGGACGTCCATTCCCTGTTTTGTTCGGTTTCGTGCGTGGCTTTTTCGCCAAATGAGCAAGGATGCTCCTCGATGGTCCTCGTCGAGGGAAAAATGCACACGTCCGAGCGATGCCAAGTCCCCCTGAGACGGACGAAGCCCGAACCCGAACAGTATCGGTCCAGGGCAAGCGGGGAATATGAGCGAGCCCGAGGTGCTGGAACAAAAAAAAAACTGTCGGGCGCCGCGGCCGCTACCGAGAGCTCCGGAAACGCCCTGAGGGCGTTACGGGACGTCCTGGAACGATGTGCCCCGGTCCTGGCCCCGCCCGACCGGTGTAACAGCCAAAACCGGCTGAAGATACGGAGATGAGGATGCGGGGCGCCGGGAGAGTCCAACATGATGGCAAGGATGGCAAGGACGAGGATGGCCAAGGAAACCCAGAACCGACGGGTGCGTGAGCCCTTTGCTTCGTGCGTTCACCCTTGTGGCCGGTTTTGACCATACCTTCCCATCCCTCCCTGCCTTCCTCCCTCTTCCCGCCCTTCAGTCCCTACAGCGGCAGGTATATACACCTCGCGATGACGTCGGCGTTGGCATTGAACACCGCGTGCATCGCTCCACCCCGGAAAGGCGGCGGCTTTTCGATGGCGCGGAGCGTCCGATATCGGCCAATTTCAGGCCACTGGCGGCGTTCAACCTTGGTCGGCTGAGGGGCAACGACCTCTTCATCCCTCGTCGTCAACCTCCTCCTCCTCCTCCTCCTCCTCCTCCTCCTCCTCCTCCTCTTCCTCCTCCTCCTCCTCCTCCTGCGCGCTGCTGCGCACCTCCCACAGTGAGTGCTCCGATTCGCAGGGTGCAACCTCCTCCCTCCTAGACCTCTTCCTTTCCTTCCTGCTCCTCCTCCCTTCCCCCCTACGCCTCCACCCTCCTGCGCCCTGCCCCCATCCTCCTCCTCCCCCTCCTCCTCCCTCCTCCTCCTCCTCCTCCTCCTGCCTCCTCCTCCTCCTCCTCCTCCTCCTCCTCCTCCTCCTCCTCCTCCTCCTCCTCCTCCTCCTCCCCCTCCTCCTCCTCCCCTCCTCCTCCTCCTCCTCCTCCTCCTCCTCCTCCTCCTCCTCCTCCTCCTCCTCCTCCTCCTCCTCCTCCTCCTGCCTCCTCCTCCTCCTCGCCCTCCAGCCTCTCGCCCTCCTCCCGCCCCCTCCTGCCTCCGACGTGCCTCCTCCCTCCCCCCCTCGGCGCGCGGGCTCCGCGGCGGGCGAGCGCCTAGCTCCAGGCCCGTCGGGGCTGCCGGCGGCAGGCCTGCGGGGCGGGCGGCCGGGCCGGCGCCTCCCCGGCGGCACCGCCCCCTCCGGCACTGAAGGGGCCCTGGGACGCACAAAATGCCCTGCAACAATGGGGAGGCCCTGGGACGCACAAATACATACACACAAATAACAGGATTCCCCCATATTTCCCCATAGTTTTTGGGTGTTTTTTGTCTTCCCCCCCACACTTCACAGACTTTCCCATCTTTTCCTGGGAATCGACGAATCAATGTGTCTGTGTTTTTTTTTCCCTCCTGACGCACCCCCCCCCTCCAACAACCCTCACGAAGCGTTGCAAGCCGGGGAGTCAAAGGACTCTCGGAGGAAGGCTGTCAAGGTTGTGGGACGGACGTCACCCGACTAGAGGCCACCCCCCTCTAGTGCGGCACGCCCTATAGCTCGGACAGGCCGTGTATAGCCAGCGTGCACCACCGTCAGGGCCCCTTACACGTAAGGCCCCTAGCGCAGCAGGAAATACTCCCCTCCAACAAGGGCGCCCAAGGAGGCACCGATAAGCCTCGCCCACGCTGGTCCTCCTCTGGTCCCCCTCCCCGGGGGGGGGGTCCCAGGAAGGGGGGTCCTCCTCCTCCTCCACCTTCCTCCTCCTCCTCCTCCTTATCACTGCCTCCTCCCCCTCCCCTTTTAGCACTGCCTCCTCCTCCTCCTTCTCCTCCTCCTCCTCCTCCTCTCCCTCCTGGTCATCGTCGATGTCTTTCAGGGTCGGCGGCATCGGGCGTCAGGCCTTCACAATAAACAGGCACAAATCCCAGGATGTCCTGTATCTGTACCGTAGGGAGGTTCGTCTTCCCCTCCATGTCCGAGGCTCTCTTCCATGTTCAGGGTCATCTAGGTTCATGGGTGATTGAAGCGACGTTGCCCTCCTGATCTGATCCGACGCCACGAACCGTGTAACCACCCTCGGGGCCAAGACTGCCGGAGCGGCCAAAGATCGCTAGAGCCTCGTCCCCCGACATGTTGCGCGAATCATAGCAGGCAACAGCAACAAACTGCAGCGCCGCGTCTACGTAATCGCCGTCGCCGCGGGGGAAGAGCTACAGTCGGGGCTTTGACCTAAGGAACCCGAACTAAGGAACAAGGCCCCTTTTGTCCACATGTTAACCTCCGACTTCCCATCGAAAACGGCAGGAAAACCTCTGGCATGCTGCGAACCAATCAAGGAACACCGAGCCCCTCCCCAGCGAGAGGGGTTCCCTCTTCAGCGCGCTCACTGTATGAACCTTTGCGCCGCCGAGGTCGATGTTCCGCCCCGGAAGGAGGACGTGGGGGGGTCGGCGGGGCCTCCCGTTAAACAGATAACTCTGGGACGCCACGCAGACATGCTGCGCCCCGAAAACGTCCCAGAGGTTCGAGGACGAAGGCTGATTCTGGACGTCTCTCGACCTTGTAGTTTTTGCTTTGGCCTCCAGGGCCAGGGGGGGGGGGACTGGCCTACTCGTCGCCACGGCTGGATTCCCCACCGATGTGCTGGCTGGAACGCGCCCCTGGGCAAAATCAGGTCCCCCCTCGCGCCGTGGCAAAACTCACGACGGACAACTTTTAGTCACATTCGGCCTCTGGGGGCCGTTACGGGGCACATGGACCGTCAGCAACGACTCAGGAAAAACAGACGACCCCAGAGAAGCGGTCGAGACCTCCAACGGTCAACGCCGTGGCGACAACTCGTCGCGGGTTGGGATCGAGGAAACATGTTCGCAAGTTGGGATCTCGGCAAGCCAGCTTCGGGCCCCTGGGCTGTCCAGAAGCTGTCTGGAAACGGTCTGGGTCGAGAACACCTGGCAACAGATAAGGAGTCGAGATGTCGGGGGGCCCATGCCTCGAGAGAGTCGAGCTGCCTCCAGGTCTCCCCTCATCTTCTCTCCCGTGCCAGGAGGCAGTGAGAACATCTGTGACTTGGAGGCGTTGGGCATTTCTGTTGTGGCGCCAGAGGCCTTCCTGGGCGTCGGGAGACCATCCGAGAATCTCCGAAGGCCCCTGGAGGCCTCCACGGGCAACCGGAGACCTTCCCTCCGCGACGAGAGGAGGGCCAGGACGCGCGGCACTCGACTCCCGCCTCGGCACCATGCTGCACTCCCAGCACGCTGCTGAGCCAGATGAGGACGAGGACAGGCGGCCCGCACAAGGGTCACTGCACCGACCTTGCAGACGTGCTGCAGCGGATTGTTGTGTGGATTGCTGCAAATGTAAAACCCCGAAATGGCGAGCGAAAAGCAACGTGAATTTCGGGTGGATGTTTGGGAGCCTTCATTCCTGGCCAAACAAAACTCCGCACGCTATTCACTTCGAAATCCAAAACGATACTCTCCAGGACAATCCGGGCCCATCCCGTTGTTTTCCGAACGAACTCCGCTCTGCGATGTTGGCGCCATGACACGGGTGTGGCGCGAGGGGGGGGCCTCCCAAGAAGGCGGCGCGCTTCGCAGAAGGCAGGGGCCTTCTTTGAGATGGCCCGGGGGCTTCTCGGGAGGCCTCTTGGAAACCGGGAGGGCTCCTCAGACGGCCCCTCCCTGCCCTCTCAGAAGCTCCCCTCGCCTCCTAAGAGGGCCGCCCCCCCCCCCCCTCGCGCTACCCCCTGGTGCACGCGGCCAGGAGGAGGAGGAGGAGGAGGACGAGGAGGAGGAGGAGGAGGAGGAGTAGGAGAAGGAGGAGGAGGAGGAGGTAGCGTTGTTCTTTCATCGCTGATATCTCTCGGATGCGGTTCTCGCCATCGCTCGGACGTCCATCCCGCGTGCGTTTGTCGATGCCGTGAGCGCGCGTTGCCTCGCACGAGGATCCAGTCTGCTCCTCGCCGATCCTCGACGAGGCAAGACTGCACACGCCCGAGCGGTGCCGCGGGGCCCGGCTGCTGCCGCTCGTGGGCCCTCCCTCGGCGACCCCGCGCCCCTGCTGCCCGGCCCCTCCCCACACCTCGCGCGGCCGGCTCTCGGAGGACGACGACGACCGACGACCGACGATCCACGACGACGATGACGACGACGACGACGACAGCAACAGCAACAGCAGCAGCAACTAACACAACACACAATCGTAACAACAACAGCAACAGCAACAGCAGCAACGACAACCGCAGCAACAACAACGACAACAACAGCAACAGCAACAACAGCAGCAGCAACAACGATAACAGCAACACAACCACGACTCTAACAACAACAACAACAACAACAACAACAACAACAACAACAACAACAACAACAACAACAACAATCATCTTAAGACTGATCGCTCTTATATGCGCGCGTCACTCAATATGTAAATCCCAAACCCTCGATACCCACCCTCTTCGTCTTCGGTCATACCCCTTTGGGGGTATATCTTTTTTACTCGCCACGTGTAGTTGGCGCAGCCCCTAAAACAGGAAGAGCAGGGGGAAGGAGGAAGGGAGAGCGAGGAGGAAAAGAGTGGGGGGAGGGAGTGAGGAGGGATCAAGAAGAATTATTCTGCAGTGTTGAGAGTTCAGCAGGGCTCAGTTGTGAGGGAGGTCCCAGGCGGGAGCGCCGCTCCCGGAGTAATGCGCGAGGAAGTCTCAGGCGGGAGCGCCTCCGCCTGAGTAAACTGCGAGGAAGTCCCAGGCGGGGGCGGGGGTCCTGAGTAAATGTGGAGGAAGTATCAGGCGGGAGCCGTTGTTGTTGTAGTCCGGGGGGCCAACAACACAGTTTGATGCTCAGTTGTGAGGGAGGTCCCAGGCGGGAGCGCCGCTCCCGGAGTAATTTGCGAGGAAGTCTCAGGCGGGAGCGCCTCCGCCTGAGTAAACTGCGAGGAAGTCCGCAAGCGGGGGCGGGGGTCGGAGTAATTTGCGAGGAAGTCTCAGGCGGGAGCGCCTCCGCCTTTGCGAGGAAGTCCTGCAGGCGGGAGCGCCTCCGCCTGAGTAAACTGCGAGGAAGTCCCAGGCGGGGGCGGGGGTCCTGAGTAAATTTGGAGGAAGTATCAGGCGGGAGCCGTTGTTGTTGTTGTCCGGGGGGCCAACAACGCAGTTTGATGCCCACGACTTTCCCTGATAAAAAACAGGGTGCGAGCCCCGGAAGGGGCACTTCAATTGAAAAAATACAATGTCCGCCGGAGGGGGGGGATCAACCATAATTATTCTTCAGTAATTAGAGTTCAACAACAACAGCAGCAACAACAACAACACCACCACCACCAGCATCAACAACAACAACAACAACAACAACACCAACACCAACAACAACAACAACAACAACAACAACAACAACAACAACAACAACAACAACAGCAACAACAACAACAACAAAGACAACAACAACAACAACAACAACAACAACAACGACAACAACAACAACACCAACAACAACACCAACAACAACAACAACAACAACAACAAAACCAACAGCAACAACAACAACAACAACAACACCAACAACACCAACAACAACAACAACAGCAACAACAACAACACCACCACCACCAACAACAACAACATCATCAACAACACCAACAACTACCACAACAACTACAACAACAACAACGACAGCAACAGCAACAGCAACAGCATCAGCAACACCAACAACAGCAACAACAACACCAACAACAACAGCAACAACAACAACAATAGCAACAACGACAACAACAACAGCAACTTCAACAGCAACAGCAACAGCAACAACAACAACAACAACGACGACGACGACGAGGACGTCGACGAAGTGGCACGACGACGACCGACCAAAAGGACGACGAGGTGGGCGACGGCAACGAGAACGACCACGACACGACGACGACGAGAGCGCCGACGAAGCGGCCCGACGACGGCCGACGACGACTGCGACGAGGACGCCGACGACGAGGACGCCGACGACGAGCCCGTCCAAGACGTCGCCGACTGCCAGGGCGCCCCCTGGAGGGCACGGGCCGAGGGCCGCGCTGCTCGGGGGGCGTGGGCGCCGCAACGGGGGGGGGCTCCTGCGGGCAGCGGCAGCCTCGCCAGGGCGAAGCCGCACAGCATCATGCCCAGGCCTCTGCGGCCCGACGGGCGCAGGGCGCGCAGGCGCGGAGGAGGAGGAGGAGGAGGAGGGGGGGGGAGGAGGGGGGGAGGAGGGGGAGGAGGAGGGAAGGGGAGAGGAGGGGAGAAGGAGGAGGAGGAGGAGGGGAGAGCCCGGGGTCGAGGAGGTCGACGCCACGGCTCGCCGCGGCCGCGGGCGCGGCACGAGTGCCTTGGCGCTCGAGCATCGCTCATCCCGCCCAAAATCGCCGGCGGCGTGGCTCGGGTCGGGCGAAAGGGGGGGATAGCAAAGGGGGGGTTTGAGAATCAGCTCACGTAGCTGATTTTCCCGGCGCCTCCCGGCGCCGGATGGGGCTATGTATCGAGGAATGGCCCCCTCGGTGAGGCCGAAACCAGGTGCATGCAGCAAATTTCGTAACCCCCCCTTTCCCAATCCCCCCCTTTCGCCCGGCCCGAGTGGCCTGGGCCCCACTGGCCAACCTTACCCCCCCCCCAGATGGGCAGATCGGCCGTTCCCCTCGGGCTGCGAGGGGCGCAGCCCCCACTGGGGTGGTAATTTGGCGGGGGCCTCGGAGGGGATGAAGATGGGGATGGGGGTCGGTGGAACGCTGCTGAGCACTGCGCCGCGGCCGCGGGCTGGCGTGAAGGCATTTGTTCTGGCCAGTGCCTCCGCGAGCCGCAGGCCGGCGCTGTTGGGGCACCAGGAGGGCGCTCCCAGCGGGCGCGGCAGACGCGCGCGGAGAGGAAGGAGGGCGCTGTGGAGCCAGGGCAATCTGCAGTGGGCCCCGTCTGTCTGCGTCGCTCAGGCGGGCTCCCGGGGACCTCGGGCGTCCTGAGAAGAACCAGGATGGCCACACCTGCTGGCTCCCCTGAGACTCGGCAAGCCGTCCGGCTACAAATTTGCGACGCGCCCAAGAAGCCCGAAGGCCTCACGGGACATTCCGTCACCTGACGGCTCTGGGACCTGAAAGGCCCACGTGCTCGAGACATCCTCGGAGAACGACCATTCGGGGACCTTTGTTGTGAGGAGGCTGCCGCTTCGGTTTTCGGAGGGAGTGCATCAATACAAACACGACGGCAAGAAATCCACAGGAGCGTTGGCGATGAGACATCGGAGCCCCACGTAACTAAACTCTTCCTAAGAAGTCTCGCTGCTGCTGTGGCTGTTGACGCTCGCAACCCCTTCGCCTGCTGCCTCCTGCTGATCCTCCAACCCTTTCTCTTATAGTGAACTGCCCCCTGACGCGCCACCAGACGTGTTTGAAGGGCGGGCCAAGCGTTCCGCCTGAGACTTCATCACTACTTTTGGTCCTGAAGCTTGAACTTCCCATCAGTTCAGAAAGATGGAGGGGTGGTGGCTTTCCCTTGGGGGTGTCTTTGGGAGCTTCGGGGGGCATCTACATCCGTTGTGGAAGCTTCCCAGTCTCCATCTATCCTGTGCTGGACACTTTTTCGATGAAAGGTGGGACATCTGATGATGACGACTTAATTTCACGTGCTCGTCTACGCATGTGACCATACATCCACCACCGTGCCTGCACGAAGTGGGGATGCTGGAATGTTCGTTTGTTGTATGGGATGCCTTTTGAACGCTGTTTAGGGCCGCCCCCCACACCCTCGAACCACGGGTGCTTCGAACCCCACCCCGCCCCTGTATTTGCTCTCCGGCCCAAGACGGCCCCAGAAACTCCCAAGATGGCCGCGAAAGGTCCCCAAGACGGCCCAAGAGAGCCCAAGAGGCCCTCCAGGAGAGCCCGAGGAGGCGAAACTCATGGATGTCCCATGTGTTGCTGAAGGATCAGACACATTCTCGCGGGCTTCGGTTCCCGGCCACCCAAGAGGGCCCAAGAGGCCTCCAAGGTGGCTCCGACAGCCCATGAGGCCCCAGAGAGGGGCCCGAAGTCTGCCTGAGAGGACACCACATTCGCCCAAGAGACTCCAAGGAGGAGCGCGCGACAGACTTCGAGCGCAAGACTCCCCGGAGATGTCCCCAACACGGCCTCCGAGGGCGTCAGACAGGCCAAGAGCCGCCCAAGACGGCCCAACACGGCCCAAGAGGCCCCCAAGAGGGCCCAAGATGCCCCCAAGAGGCCCCCAGGAAGCTCCCAGAAGGCCCCAACAGAGCCCCTAAGAGGCCTTATTCTCCTTGTTTTCAGAGTATCCATCTTCCTTTTCTCCTCCTCGTCATCCTCCTACAACACGGACGAAGATCCAGTCGAGTTCACGAGTCGCCTCAGTTCAGACCGCTTGCTGAACTGCAGCGGGGCGTGAACTGGACCTCCCCCCTGTCGCGCTGACGAAAACGAAGTCGAATTCATGACCCGTCCCAGTTCAGACCGCTCGTCGGAATTTCGTTATTCCTACACTCGCCCTCCTTCCTGCTGTGCTGTTCCACAGGCGCGGTTGCGAGGTGTGCAGCGAGCACGGGGATACATATATATATATATATATATATATATGTATATATATTTACATTATCCCAGTGCGACCCTACCTAGGAAAGCAGCATTAGTAGTAACAGTAAAGCTAAGCTAAAGCTAATCTACAGCGAAGCTAAAGCTAAGCTAAAGCTAAGCTAAAGCTAAGATAAAGCTAAGCTAAAGCTAAGCTAAAGCTAAGCTAAAGCTAAGCAACAACTAAACTAAAGCTAAGCTAACGCTAAGCTAACGCTAAGCTAAAGCTAAGCTAAATATAAGCTACAGCTAAGATAAAGCTAAGCTAAATCTAAGCTAAAGCTAAGCTAAAGCTAAGCAAAAGCTAAACTAAAGCTAAGCTAACGCTAAGCTAACGCTAAGCTAAAGCTAAGCTACATATAAGCTACAGCTAAGCTAAATCTAAGCTGAAGCTAAGCTAAAGTTAAGCTAAAGCTAAGCTAAAGCTAAGCTAAATCTAAGCTGAAGCTAAGCTAAAGTTAAAGCTGAGCTAAAGCTAAGCTAAAGCTAAGCTAAAGCTAAGCTATAGCTAAGCTAAAGTTAAGCTAAAGCTAAGCTGAAGCTAAGCTGAAGCTAAGCTAAAGCTAAGCTAAAGCTAAAGCTAAAGCTAAAGCTAAAAGCTAAAGTTAAAACTCCCAGGAGACTGGGGGAACCGAGGGGCGGGGACCGGGGGAACCGCCCGGGGCGCTTTCCATTGCCCGGCCCCTTTAAGCTAAGAGAGTAAGAACCCTTCTAGGCAGAGCCTAGGTAGGAAAAAATTGTGTGTGAATCCAAGCGAACACATAGACATGTACATACGTTATATCCGTACAAGGTGTATACCGTGTCGCACACATATATATGTATATTTGTATATATATATATATATATATGTGTGTGTGTGCGTGTACAGACACATTTGAACCAGCACGCGCTTCGTGCGCTGAAATTCTACTTGCCATGTAACCAAGCAACTGGCGTGGGTGCTCCAGAGACCTTGTACAAAAAGCTGTACATGTTCGAGCTGTGCTTGGCGGATTTTGGCTCCATGGGAATCCTTTGTGCGCACTCCGGCGGCCTCTTCGGGCCTCTGTGTTGTAGTGTTCAGTCGGGCCTGTCCCTGTACATGGGGGAAGGTTCAAAAATAGTTAAAAAGACAATCTGGGGGCACATTTTCTGACCATTTTGGAATATGTTGGGCGGATGTTTGATGTATTGGGAGCCCGGCGGCCGCTTGGGACCGTCGTGGGCCGTCCCTGGGGCTCCTGCGGAGGCGGTCGCCGGCTCTTCTCCTGGAGTGCTCGCGGGGCAGTCCTGGGCCCCCTCGTGTGGTCTGACCGGGGCCCTCACTGGGGGCCTTCTTGGGCTCCGAGGCCATCTCTGGAGGCACGTGTGGTCCACAGGCTGGAACTCCAGCACACTGCGGCACAGCATCTGGATGTCCTCGACGTTGGACTGAGTTGGCCCCTCGGATGGTCGCAGCACGTATCGCCCTGATCCTGATGGGGGCCCAGCGGGGGGTCCGATGACCACTGCCCTCAAGATGGGGGCTGCGGGGCCTCAGGGGAAGGCCGATGGAACGGATACGGAGGTCACCATCGCCATCATCGTCAGCATCGTCATACAGTACTACTCATCACCACCACCGCCATCATTGCCCGTCCCTCCTCCTCCTCCTGTCCTCTCCAATCTCCGCCGCCTGCATCCTTCATTCCCTCCCATTGGCCCTTTTCAACCTAAGACGAAGCCAGGACGAGGAT